TTTATAGACCCCACGGACCTGATGCGCATGGGTCCCCGCTCCCCCACCAGTCAGTCACGGGGCTTCTCCCAGCACCACGTTCCCTGTCTGCAAAATGGACGGAGCACTCCCAGGTGTCATGGCCCAGAAAGGGCTGTTGGTGTGGCGTGAGGAGACCGCTCAGACCCTGAGGGGGCAGGAAGGGAAGGGCTGACCTTGGCACGCGCCAGCCGGCTGGCTCTCGGGGCTGGACCGATGTTCTGGGCCCAGCAGCAGTAAGGCCATGCCAGGCCGCCGCCTGAGAGACCACCTGTGACCCCGACAGGGTGCGACAAGGCCACTCAGCACTGTGAGAGTGGATCAGTGAACGCCAGGCCTGCAGGACGGGCACGGCAGGACGGAACCCTCTGCCCTCCCCGCTGACGGAGGGAGCCTTAATAACCCTGTGGGCGGTTTATTGAAGTTCCCAGTCACTGAGCGGCCCGTTCCTGACAGCACCCCACYGGGGAAGGCCTGTCTCTTCAAGCCTTCCCCCAAATCACCCCCGAGGTCCCAATCCTGCACCAGTTCTTTCCAACAGAGAGACCCCACCGCTCGGGACGGAGGGCCACTCCGGCTCTCTGACAGTCGACCCCACTGCAGGACCGCAGGGGTGTCCGGTGGCCTTGCTACACAGACAAGCAGGTCCTCTCCCGGGTCCATACTTCTCCACCCACACGTGTCCACTTCCTCTGTTCTGCTGCCAGCTGCCTCGGAGTAGAGAGAAATACAGCAGGAAGTCTGAGGAGGTGGAAGGGCGAGGGAATGAACTACAGATAAATTAACCAATGATTAACAAATAAATAACAAGAGTACTGAACTGTGAGCTGCCCAGAGCCCTGACCTGGACTCTCCTGCTTGGGGAGATGGGCCTTCCCACAGAGGGGCAGGACCTCCCCACTGGCCAGGCCAACTGCCCCTCCTAGTCCTCCCCTCAGGGTCTCATCTCCTCCGAGCCTGCAGAATCACTCAAGTAAGCCCTCCAAGCACCGCAGGACCCGGCTCCCAGGCTGCCCCCAGAGTCCCTGCGTGAGCAGCCCCAGCTCTCTGCAGGTGGTAGGGAGAATCCTCTCCCCCAGGAGGCGATGTTTGGTCTGGGACCTGAATCCTGGGAGAGGACCAAAGCACCGCCAACATGTCTCCACACAGCAGCCTACATGGTGTGCAGCGCAGAGGAGGTGCAGGGGAATGCTGGAGTTCACAGGAGGAGAGGAGGCCCTTGACAAAGTGTTTTCCTGGGATTCTTTTCGGGGCCATGTATATTTTGACATTTTAGAAATGCCAAAATGTCAAATTGCCAAAGGGCAATTCTACTGTTAAAAGAACTTCAGTTGATATTGTGTTCTCTTTTGACGCATATTTAGTCAGGTTTTTATTGCTGTGACCCAAAGACAGTCAAGGACAGGGTAGAGGAGGAAAGATTTGTTTAACTCATGGTTCAGAGGTTCCACCCGTGGATGGCTGACTCCACAGCTCTGGGCCCCAGGTGAGGCCGAGCGTCATGGTGGACGGGCGCGGCAGAGGAAAGCAGCTCAGGACTGGTCAACCAGGAGGCAGAGAGCCCCACTCACCAGGGACAACATATGACACTGGCAAAGCCCAGTGTCCAGCACGCCTAGGATCACTACCCAGTTAATGCCTATCAGTGATTAATGTGCTGATCAGATAAAGCTCTCATAACCTCATCGTCTCACCTTTAAACTTTCTTGCATGTCTCACACATGAGCTTTTGGGGGACACCTCATAGCTAAGCTATAACATACGATTTATAAACACACACCTACACATACACATGARTGCACTGAACAATTGACATTGTGCTAAGTACCATTTTATAACTAGCTTTCCATTTGATAATATGTCCCAACTATACTCCCCCCTCACTGAATATCCTCCTCCCCCCAATTTTCCATTGTTTGACCACATTGTATGGATTAAGGACAGTCATATGGATGTGCCACAGGTTCATTGATTGATAGTCTCTCAGGTGTACATCCAGATGGTCTCTGTTTATAATTTCATGTGTATTTTCTGAATATCTCTTAGATCAGTAGTTCCCAAAATACAGTTTAAAGACCCCTAGGGGAATCAAGGCCCTTTCAGGAGGCCCACAATTTAAAATGATTTGCATAAAAATATGAAGATTTTAAAAGTCTTTTAAACTTTCTCATTTTCTCAGGAATGCATACTAGGGATTCTCGGTACTGCGTGGCGAGTTGAGAATGTATGGGAACACCCTGCTGCCACTAAGCAGGACTTTAAAGGGGCTTGCAAAATTGGAGGACAAGGCCACCTTTATCACTATTTTCTTTTTGATTGGAAAATATGATTATTTTTCATAAAATGTGTTATGTTATAGGTTTATTAGTGTCCTTTTGAATATTTAAAATTTTCTGTTTTAATATATAGTGTGGTAACTATAAGTAGATATAAGCCATATGAGCAAAATTTTATTTAGGGCGTCCTTGATAACTTTTAAAGATATACTTGTATTCTGGGATGAAAACCTTTAAGACTTGTCACCTTACCTTACATTCCTAGGCAGTTTTTCAGGGTTGAGAATACATGCATCTAAAGTCACTGCTCCAGATGCCAAATATGCAGGATGGCACTAGAGCCTCTTGGGAAATGTAACCCAGGCACCTCTGGCTGATCCACCTGCCAGACTGCGCCCCGTGATGGGCCAGGAAGGTTTCTGAGGACGTGCCTGGGGGGCACAGACACCCCCAATGGAGGATGCCGTCAGCACCCCCAGGACAGAAGGCGGGCTCCTGAGGCTGTGGCCCAGCCAARATCCATTCTCGGGGGATCATGGCATGGCTCGGAGGCAGGGGCTGGAGGGAGGACTTTGGGAGGACTCGAGGCGGGCCTCACACCGGGTAGGCATTCCGTGCAGAACCGCGGGACAGTGAACGTGCACCAGGTGAGCCTCGTGACCCCGCAGAGCAGGGCGGGGTGGGTGGGGAGATCCCACGTCCGCCTCCAGCTGTGAAGGCCTCAGGTCCTGGGCAGGTCCTGCTGCCCGCCCCACTGGTGACAACGACCTTTCTCGCGTCTTCCCCTGGGGCCAAGAACCCTTGAGAGTTAGGCGGGGCCTTAACTCTACCACTGGTTCTTTACCTCCTGTTTAAGTATCAGAACACCCAGCAGGGCCCGAGTCCTGTCCATGGTGCTGAAGGACAGGCAGGTGGCGTCCGTGAGCTGGCAGGCAGGCGCTGGTAATCTGTGCAGAGGTGACTCTGCAGCCCTCTGCCTCACGCCCCGCCCTC